AGTTATCCTACCTCTCTTCGGAGACGCTAAACATTTTCTCTCGGCGTAAGTAAGCCTTGGCGTACATTAGTTACAGCAAAACAAAGAATGAGCTTCTATAAAATTCTATCTACGAACAAAATCTTGTACGAAACGACGGACTGGTGGTTTTTCATGTAAAACTCTCAAGTAATAAATATCTCGCACTAACGAGACAAGAATAAGTATTTTTCTACTAAGTTCACATTAATTATTTCGCTCATTACTTAAGAAAGATCGTTTATGATTTGAAATTTAGTATCTCAACTTTAATGCTGATAATATAAAATAAATCATTGTAGTAAGGTCATACAAAGCGTTCATTACCGTTACAGGAAATTAAAAGGAACTTTTTTTTACAGGATCGGGTGACAAACGAGCACACAGTCCACCTGATGGTAAGTGGTGACTGTGGTTCACAGACATCTACATCCATCCTCGATAACGAATCAAAATGCAGATGCGTTGTCACCCGTGAGAACTAAGATGGAATGCCTCATTTCCAGTAAAACGGGTCGTCGGTTCTCTACATTCACCATATGAAACACAGCAGCATTAAGCTACTATTTGATGCTGGCATTCTATGAGAGCGTGGTCCTTCCCCGGTCGGACTGCACTACCGAACATAGGTCTCAACTCACAGGGGGGATATTTGCCATAGTTGTCACGCTTGACAAGTGGGTTGGCAATCGCAGTTTTGTATTTTTAGTAGTTACTAGGGAGATGCTGCTCTCCATCTCCTGATTTGTCTACCTCAGTTGACCTTTACAACGCCCGCGGGTCGATATAGTAGTGGATAACACCGCCACTACACGATATAGGGTAGTGGATAACACCGCCACTACACGATATGGGGTAGTGGATAACACCGCCACTACACGATATGGGGTAGTGGATAACACCGCCACTACACGATATGGGGTAGTGGATAACCGCCACTACACGATATGGGGTAGTGGATAACACCGCCACTACACGATATAGGGTAGTGGATAACACCACCACTACACGATATGGGGTAGTGGATAACACCGCCACTACACGATATGGGGTAGTGGATAACACCGCCACTACACGATATGGGGTAGTGGATAACACCGCCACTACACGATATGGGGTAGTGGATAACACCGCCACTACACGATATGGGGTAGTGGATAACACCGCCACTACACAATATGGGGTAGTGGATAACACCGCCACTACACGATATGGGGTAGTGGATAACACCGTTAGTGACCGTTAGTTGACACGGAAACCGTTCATTGGTATTATTTGTTTGTTGATTTTTGAAATCTGCAAAAGAGTTTAACTATCAAAATTTGTAATGTCATAATATTCGTTATTCTTCAATTTATTTACGAAAGCCCAATGATGAACGTTGGTTTCATCCGTTGTAGAAAGGCTTTTATCGTCATGCATGTGCTTACGTAGTGGAGCTACACTGCAGTTATATTTTATCTGCTGTACGAATTGGTCGGTCGACTGGGGTGAAACCACGCTCTCACGGAATATCAGCGTTAAATGGCAGAATGCTCCTGTGTTTCACATGATGTGTGTAGAGAACTGAAGAATATTTGCAACACCAATGGGAGAACTATGTTCATCTGTAAAAATAGACTCGTGGAATATCTTCAAACTCTTTCATACACAGATACTGAACAATTACTTCAAATTATCTCATAAATATTCACAGACATACACGCAGACATGCTAACAGTCACAAACTCTCATACTTACGCTACAAAAATACGTGGTTTTTATTTTTTTTTATTTTTTTTCTCTATATAATATTATTTCTAACCATAACATAAGTGATCTCTTTATAATATTATACTTGTTGCCAAGTAAATTCGGGGGGGGGGAGGGCCCTGGTGACCCGTAATACGGGTCACTAATGTATCTTCCATGTCGTTCGTGGTGAGAAATAAATAAATTATTTTTATTTTTGGGGTATCTGTATAGTTTTCTCATCTGGTTGGTTTCTATAAATATATAATTATAAATTAAAATGAAAAGATAAATATACATAAATATCAATAAAATAAAATAAATACAAAAAATACACAAATAAATAAAGATCCAACCAGATGGAAGCCCTCGGCAGGGGAGACCAAACGGCCGAGGGTTAGGGGGAAAGGGAAAGAAACCGACGGACGATGCGGGCGGTATCGAGGACCACTGCCTTCTGCATTTGAGCCCGGAGCGGTCCGTCACGGAGTCCCAGTCGCCTCAGATGACCCGAGAGGCTGACTGGGATTAGCCCGTTTGCAGAGACAACTACAGGAATAATTTCGGTCGGCAGACCACCCCACATGTCGGTCACCTCGTGAGCCAGGTCCAGATATTTTGTTTGCTTATCTGTTTCGGCTTTCACGAGGTTCTCGTCATACGGAATGGTAATGTCGACCAAAAATATCCTTGACTGTGCCCGGTCCATCAGCACAATATCAGGCTTATTTGCAAGAATAGTCCTGTCTGTGATGATGGCCCGGTCCCAGTAGAGCCTGGCGCGGTCATTTTCGAGCACGGCTTCCGGCAAGTACTTGTAATACGGCAATTTCCGGTCCACGAGACCGTATTTCAGAGCGAGCGCCTGGTGTAGAATTCTGGCTACTAGGTTGTGCCTGTGCAAGTACTCAGAGTTAGAAAGCGCCGAACAACCGGAGATGACATGTCTAAGTGACTCCCCGGGATGGCGACAAGCTCGACAGACGTCGACGGTGCCATCCTTTAGGATGTATCTCCGATAGTTGTTGGTCTTAATAACCTGATCCTGTATTGCACAGACAAAACCCTCGGTTTCCCCGAAGAGGTCACCGAAACGTAGCCAGTTGAGGGAGGCGACTGTATCTACGAAGGGCTCATGTAGAACCCTGTAGTACCTCCCGTGAAGCTCCTTCTCCTTCCATACGGTCTCCCGGTCGGAAATGCTAAGCACTGCTGGGTCCTGCCATTGCTCGTTGGCCAAGGATAGAGGGGTAAGCCCTTTATCACTAGAAATGACGTCATTATAGAATGGATCATCCGATCTCGCCAGGAAGTAATGACGGAGGCTGCACACTTCACGATTATGCATAGTGAGCGCGCTTAGAAAGCCACGCCCACCATGCTTTCGCGGCAAGTACAGCCTCATTACCGACGATCTCGGATGATGCATCCTATGGGACGTCATGGTAGTGCGGACTTTTCTATCCAGGGCGTTAAGTTCAGTCTGAGTCCACCTGAGTATGCCAAAGGTATACATAAGGACAGGCATGACCCAACCGTTATATGCGTGTGTCTTATTCACACCGGACAAAAGGCTATTAAGCACTTTGGTCAAGCGTGCATAAAACACGTCGCAAACAGACTGTTTCACACCAGCCTCATCGATACCGATGTTCTGTGACATACCCAGGTATCGGTATGTTTCAGCCTCGGAAAGGGTCCTTAAGTTGACGGGCATAGATAAATCTATGCCCTCAGAGTTAGCAACCCTTCCCCTCTCAACATGGAGGACCGCACACTTATCCATCCCCAGCTCCATTCCAATGGAACTGCTAAACTCACAAGTGATTTTTAGCAATTCCACAAGATGGGAGCGACTGGAGGCGAATAACTTGAGGTCATCCATATAGAAAAGGTGGGTCACTTTTGTCCCTCCTTTCCGTAGCTGAAATCCTCTCCCGGATCCCTCCAGTAAGGTACTGAGAGGGTTCAGGGAGAGGCAGAACCAGATTGGACTCAGACAATCGCCCTGGAAGATACCCCTTCTTATCCTTATGTGGTTCTCCGCAGCCATCATCCGCTCACCCAGATGACAAAGGATCGTACTCCACTGCCCCATACACTGCTCGAGGAAGTCTCTCACTGTACAGTCTATCTTGTACAGCTCGAGGACTCTCTTTAGCCATGTATGGGGCACCGAGTCGAATGCCTTTCTGTAGTCTATCCAGGCGGCGGAGAAGTTCCGACGGTTGCGTTTCACCACTTTGCCAATGACCGCGTCAATGAGGAGTGGTTCCTTAGTTCCACGACCACCGCCCCGACATCCATTTTGAGCGCGTGACATCACCTGATTTAGCTCCAGGTGACGAGTGATTCTCGCGCTCAAAATGGATGTCAGTGTCTTATATATGGTGGGTAGACACGTAATGGGGCGGTATTTGCTCGGGTCTGTGGTAACCTGGTCTTTAGGAACCAAATGAGTGATCCCAGTAGTGAAGAGGCTAGGGAGCGACTTCTGGTTGAGAGCCTCTTGAAACTGACGGGCGAGCACAGCGTGACACACCATGAACCCCTTCAGCCAGTAGTGATGCAGTCCGTCGAGTCCCGGACTTTTCCAGTTCGGGGCTCTACGGACCGCCTCAGCTACGTCATCCGGCGTTATGATGACGGGGTCCATGGGCGTAATACTCGCACACTGACTCGCCACAACTTCCGTCCAAGGGCCCTCGCTGTGGTTTACGGGCTCTGATCACAGGCCACGCCAAAATGCGACAGTGTTAGCCTGATCCGGTCCTGGGCCCGCTCCACATACCTCTGGTCTCAATGATTTGTAGAGCCTCTTCTGATCACTCTGGAAGAGACGATTCTGGTTGAACCGCCTTGACCTCTCGGTAAATCGGCGAATCCGCTTCCCCCAAGCGGCAATCTTTTGCTTCAGGTCGTCTATGCGCTCCGTTAGTTTCTGCGTAATATCCGGCTGGGACAAACTGATATTTGTCCCAGCAAACGCCATTCTAACGGTGCGCACAACCCTCGGTCTATTATTACCCGACCTGAAGCTTATCAGTCTGCCGATAAGGGCCCTTGCCTTTGCGATACGGTCCTCAATTCTTTTTCTCCAGGCTGGGATGGCGCTACTTTGTTTAGTAGCGCGTCCAGCCATGGGAAGTTTGGCGCCAATAATACGGCAAGCTGCCACTGCGGCGCCAAAAAGAACTGAGTCCGTCTCGCAAAGGTCCCGGCTGGCTTCCAAATAGGTTACCTGCATTGGGTTAAGAGCCCTCACGACAGCCCGATTTCGCTTGCTTAGGGGTATGCGGGGGAAGTCGCGGTCGATTTTCGAGAGGCATGCTGCGCGTTTCTAAAATCGCCTCTTCCAATATACTCCTCATTTGCTCTAGTTCGTGGGAGACCATTTCATCATCGTCTGAATCACCCACAACTGGAAGATCCATGGCGGCTTCTACTCGTGGCAGCTGGTCTGTCGCCTGAGGAGCCTCATCCCCAGCCGTAGCCAATTCATTCGATGAGGGAATGGCCTCACGTCGTAGTCGTTCGAGCTCGGCATCATCGAATATTTTCGAGCGCATGATGTACCGAACTCGGTCTGCCAGGTTTTGTTTCGTGACGGGGATAGACGGCTCCAGCTCAGCAAAAAAGCAATGCATCCGAGCCCGATACGCTATCCCCGCAGTTTCTTCCCCTTTCGCCCTATAGTACGCCCGCATTGCGTTTGCGTTCATATCCCTTGTCCAACGCATGCGGCGCACTCCACCAGCGGCGGATGCCGCTTGCCGAGTCCGAGAGGACCCTGCCGACATCAAGCCGTCTGGTGGGGATGATGGATGCGGGGGGGCTGTTAGGTGATCTTGCAGCTCCTCGCGCTCGGCTGGCGGCCCGCATGCTGCCGCGTCCAGCGCCAGCTCCAGACGCGCCCCGGCGACCCCCAGGCAGCGGCCCTATACGTTTTCCAATCTTATCCATCATCCATTTTTGGGCGCCAATTAGCGGGAGACGCCCAGGCCCGGCACCGTTTTATTGTATCATTGTATGGCCGTAAGCACAAACGGGCCTTTGCACCCTGAGTACTGCCGAGGCACGGCGCTCACACCTCTTGGCAAGGCGCTGACTGACTGCACCGACGTAGCAGTTTTGTCACTTAACTGTTTCGTCAGCGGGCGAAGGGGTCGTCACTTCCCTACGCCTTTTATTATTATTTTTATTATTATTATTATTATCTGTTTTATAGTTGTAACTCTGTTTTATGGTCGGTTCTATATGGGAAAGACCACGTTCTCACAGAATACCAACGTAAAATAGCAGCTTATGCTGCTATATTTCATATTGTGAGTTTAGATATCCGGATACTTTTTTCCTGAAAACGAGGCATTTCATCTTAGTCCTCAGGGGGACAACGCAACTACATTTTAATCCTTTATTGGGGTTAGTTGCTCCTGCTGTGGACTATTTGCTCGTTCGTCACCCTTATTCTATAAAAAAAATCTCTTAAAGCTGCTCATATTGATATTTCGATACTGCGATTATTAATTCGTCCACAAAAAACAAACAATCACATCAGTTCATCTATTATCACAAAGGCAAATTATCTGTGTAAATATGTATAAACAGTCCTATCATGGGAACTGTTTACAGTGGAATTATTGAAACGATGCCCGTTTGTGCAATCCGTGCGAACTGCCCTGTCGTTGACAATCGGCTGAATTATATATCGCTTGGGTGGGTCTGATTCTATAATGATCAGTTAGAACTATACACTGTACGTGATTTCTTTCAAATAGACCTATACTTTGCAAGTTTTCAAGCTTTTGAAATAGAATATTACATAGTTGTGTAAGTATTGTGACAAATGGATGTCTGTGATCTCTGCCTACCCCTTTGGATAACATGCATGAGTATTTATGTTATGTTTAAGTTTATTTAAGGTATTTTGTAGTAGGATGCGTATGTATGAAAACGTTACCTTGCTTGATTGACTTGCAATAATCAAGCCCATAAGTACCCACTATTTTTTAAAGGACCCTTAACCGACGAGCACGTATGCGTAGGTATATGCATGTAGAAGCGAGAGAGGTGTGTCAGGATCGTCCTAAATGGAAGTCTGTTTATAGATATAATGTTTATAAATATTTTTTAAATAAAACGTATATCCAAGCTCAAAAATGTCACAAAGAAGACTAGCCAAAACGGCCGCGAGCACTTTTTGTTTAATTTATATATAATAAGATAAAATAAAAAGTATTTGTAGTATGTCCTCAACATGACCTAAAATGAATATGAATAAGCTCATTTGATTTATGTTTTACACGGTTTCATAATCGTATCTTATCAAAGTACACGTTTAAATAGCGATTTAGTGTCATATTAATGTTTTTGTTATCGTGCCAATTTTGTTTTTTTATTTTTAAAAACGTTACCTCCACACTAGGATTTTCTCCTGTATCGTGGGGGCAGTTTACAAACATAAATTTCACAATGACACACATCCAGACCTGGAACAATTAATTATAGGCCATACAAATATTTGTTCCGTGCGGGATTCGAACCCGCGGCCCTTAGCGCTGTAACTCATTGCTAAGCCACTGCGCCACGGAGCCGTCAAATACACAATAATTACATTTAAGTAAGTTTATAGAGGTTCAAAAAAGTTAAAAATTATTGTAGCTTCGTTTTAAACTCTAATTGCATTTAAACGGTTGTGTTCACATTAACTGATTGTTGATTAAATATTTTATTAGGATAAATGCAGTAGTAAATGTTAATTCTAAATGCTTTATTTATTCACGTGTGATTTGAAATACGTGGGTCTATCATTATTTATCGTTATCATCCTGCATGATCATCAGACAAAGGCCTGTCGGTTGCGTTATTTTTATCTATTATTAAAATATTAAATATTTATTCGGTGGAGACACGCTACAGCTATATCATTATTGAAGCACGAAAGGGTCGGCTCGACCGGGGAAAGATCACGTTCTTAAAGAATATCATATTTTCTATGATGAGTACAGAGCATCTGAGACCCCTTTTACTGGTAACGATGTATTCTATTATTTTTCGATAGATACAGTAGTATACGGGCTACATGATCTTATCATCAAGTGGACTGTGTGCTCGCTTCTCACCATTATTTCGTTGATGAAATTAAAAAAAAAATTTCCTTGCTTACCTGGATTTGTTAAGAGAAGTATTAGTAATACTAAAATAGCATTTCTGGTATTTAAAAATAAAGTAGAAAATAGCGTGAACTGCAAGCTAATCATCCCATCCATCTTTAATACCTACCAAAGTCCACAGCTGAACATAGGTCTCAGTGGGGCTATTTTTTACAGTTACCAGACTTGGCAGAGGGGTCAGTAGCAAGACGCTGCTGTTTTTCTACCGGTTTGTTTTCCTTTTGTCGCCACTTACTACACTCAAAGGACTGAAAGAGTTTCACTACCTTAATTTTGTATAAAATATTAATCTCTCTATTGGCTGCAATGTCAAAAAATATGTTATTTTGAATCGCGTGTGCTGCATAAGAAAATTCTTCACTCCACGTCACCCGAGGGAGTCATACGAGGCGACTATGAGATATGCCAGTGGGACCGTATGGTTTCTTATATAAATAACGGTGGGATCAGCTTGTTAATGCTACGCTAGGCTAATCAAAGTCAAATAAAAGACAAAATACTTTTATTCATAATTGGCCTCAACGGTGCACTTTTATAAAGTCAAAAAAACTAAGCAATCGCTTCCTCAAGTCAATACTGCGGGAGACGAATATCCAAACCAATAACGGGGTGCAGAGTTAAAGCAGCAAAACTTCTGTCACTGCGATCGTCACTAAACCAACCAAGTATGAATATTATGGTAATACAAACCCCCCCAACCCCCCCACAGGAGAGGCATGATGTAGATGTAGACGAATTGTATGAAAAGAGAATGAAAAAAGGAATTAATTTATCTCTTACATTCCAAATAATATTTTATTCAATCCGTTTGAGCTACATACTCCCAAAATTCCATTTAATTTTAGTAAGTATATTACCTACTTACTAAGTTGCAAGTAACGATCACCTCGTTGTTGCCAAAAAGTCGGGTTAAACTAGAAAATATGAAGACACGACGTATGAAATCCAAGTCCAAGAAAGACTCCTTTGGGTGTGAATCATTTATTACAAGAAGACACATTTTTTATTCTTGATACAAATATATGATCTCACTAGTTTCCCTTTTTCTAAATTCGATTTTCACGCCAAATAAAAATACATTGTTTGTTTATCTTACGATATACTCGTACGTTATTACGCTAATCGATCAATCGTTATTACGTATTATAATATATTGAATTAAAAACGGTTGACTAATACACAACTTAATATATACTACAAAAGAAATGGTTAATTTTAATATGATAATTCAATATTTTTCATTGCAATACAAAAATTTATAGATATTTAAAACATTTTACGAATCGGTCGGCTCAACCGCGGCAGGACTTCGCTCTCGTAGAATATCAGAGTAAATTAGCAGCGTAATGCTGCTGTGTTTCGTATGGTGAGTGTAAAGAACCGGAGTCCCTTTTTACTGAAATCAAGGAATTCTGTCTTAGTCTTCAGGGATGATCACGCATTTGCATTTTGAATCTTAATTGAGGATAAATGTGGATGTCTATGGGCCACGGCATCCACTTACCATCATGTAGACTGTGTGCTCGTTTGCCACCCAATGCTATAAATTTTTTTTAGAGAAAAGCAATATAAAGAATACCGTACAGTGCGATACAAGTGAAAATTCCATTCAAATCATTTCGTTTTATGGCAATTCAATTGTGCGTTTTTTTAAATATTCTGCCATACATTAAAACCTTTGGTATTTACGGAATGACATAACTTAGAGACCTTGATGTACTGAAACATGTCTCTTAAAGGCCAGTAACATCATGTGCGCCGTTTGCATGAAGCAAATGACTCATTAATCTTTTACACCCGCTATTTTGTATTTCCTTGGTCGACTCCCCATTCGATTGAACTAATTTATTATTCATTCTCGGGAAAAATGCAGAATGCAAGCAATCTTGCACTGTAAAGTGAAGTAAACGTTGATTCAATTTGATTGTTAACTAGCTGTATTATCTTAGCCCATTAATAATATAGCGGTATAGTCATTCCTAGGTAAGCATTCGATGAAATTGCACGTTTGTTCAAATATGAATAGTGTACCGTGATAGTTCCGGGAAAGGGTGCTAGCTTAACATAACACAACATGGAAGAAATATTTTCTACCACATTTTCTTTTTAATTTCAATGGTCAAGTGTATAATTTATGAGGGTTAAATTTAATCTTATTGCAGTCGGTATTTTTAAGGTGATAAAAGTACGATGCAGCTATATTATGGTGACAACACAAATGGGTCGGACAGACCGAAGAACAGTGCACTCATAGAATATCACCGTAAAGTAGCAGCTGAATGTAGCTGTGTTTCGCATGCTGAGTGTATAGAACCTTTTTACTGGTACATATCTTAGTTCTCAGAGGTGACAACGTAAGTACTTTTGATTTTTAATCAAGGATATATGAAGATGTCTATTGCCCATAACGTCTAAATTCTATCAGTATAATTACAAAAAAGGAGTTCTACCAATTAGAAAGTTTAAGGTATCCATAGGTGAACCATACGAAGAATTTTAAAAGTTTTGAATTTTGAATTCCATCTTAGTTCTCT